TTTAAAGTCCATAAATTCTTCCCGATTATTAATTTAATAGTTATACTTATGTAATGAATAATGATGTTTAAATAAAACTAACTATACACGTAATTAAATAAACAGAAACCTCACGAATATATTTAAACAAATTATGTGTGTTACATTTTTGCCAAAATATCACATAACTTATTTTTATAGAATAATATACATCTCGTTTTCTTTTAATTCCGTGTTTTGAAGCACAGTGGATAATAAACAGTGTTTGAAAATTAGTTCAGTTGAAAACTAAATAAGTTCACGTCCCATTCAATGCGTAAAAATTAAATCTTTCAGGTTTTGTAAGGTCTCGTTATTTTTTAATAACATGAACTTGTACACGATATTTTATGCAAAAAAAAAAAAAAAATGACAAACGCGAACAAATTAACTAACTATTCAGTAATTAAATTGATTTTGAGCTTAGCAAAAACTTTCCACTACCCAGTACACTTCAGAGTAAATTGAAGTTTAAATGAAATGAGATACACATTATATTATTATATGAATGTGTAATCTAATAGCTTAATAAATTTTTAAAAAAAATATTACACATTAATTACATAATTATATTAACCCTTTAATAGAACGTTGATAAGATATAATTTTTTTTTAAATTTTTTTTCAATACATGTAATAATTAAGTAACATGTATTAAAATTACTAAATACTTTTACCTAAATGCATATAATCATTAGGGTATTGAATTTCTTAAAATCAGAGCCAAATATTATGTAAAATATAAAATAAGTAGGTAGTAATCTAATTGTTATTTATTTATACCTATTTAAGAAACTGGCTCACACTCAATATTCAATGGTTTTAGATTTAAAAAAATATATTGTATTTATTTATATTCAATAATAAATTATTTTAGATAAAAAAAATAATAAAGAAAAGGTAAGTAAATACAGTGTAAAATACTGGTTAAATCAGTGGTGCCGATATTTAAAATTAAATGTATGGCCAATAACTACCCACCTCACCACCACTCCCTACCACTACACCCACTAATTAAATTTAAACCTGTTAAAAAATAATTATTAGTTGACTTATTATACCGAAGACACAAACGCGCAGTTCGTTTTCAACGGTAGGTAGTGTTGTATTATAGCTTACAAGAATCCATAGCCATTTATGGAATTTATGTTGCATTAACCATAATATATGGGCGGTAATAATGTAATATACCTATGGCAATGGCAGTAGAGTGGGTGATTGCCAGTTGGTGGATCGTGAATGTCTATATTGGTTGATGGTTTTTATTTTTCCAAAATATTGGTTTCTGTATTTTTATATACACAAAATATACATATTTATTTACTTAAATGTATAATTAAAAATCAATAAGGCAGTATTAACACACATATTACAGATAATATAATATTTTACTTATTAATTATAAATATACTTAAAATTAGAGTAAGAGTGATAACTAAAAATAAAATGTATTAATAAACTATTCAATAAACAGAAATACTCGTAATACATGGGCATGAGACAAGTAGACAACAAACTCAACAAAAATAACAATACATCACTCAGACTTGAATACCTTCCTAATGGCTTACTGCTGAAAAACTAACATACAAATTTCTGCACTGTTAGTTGTTATTGTTATTATTGATGACTGTTTTTGTAATATTATGAACTATTTTGTGTTCAACATTGATATTTAATACCAAAAACTCAAAGAGCAATACAGTTTCATAATTGTTATTCCTATTTCTATTCATTTTCATGATTATTCTCTTATGGACTCACTCCCCAGCAAAATTTTTATGTACATGGCAGTTTTCGCACATAGACATGGACTTCAGCACCACTGGATTAAATTAAAAATAAATAGAATAATAGTTTGTAATACAAATAGACATAATGCGATACAAGAGTTATAGCTGCTTAGGGTAAGAACCTAATGTAAAATCAGTTACCCTCATATTTAGTTACCTTCTACAGATGAAAAAAGTTTATGATTAAAAATTTAAATTGTAAAGTCGAATTTATCCTATTCATTTAGATATAAATCCATAAGAATATTATGAATTACCTAAAAATGTGTAATAAATTCTACAATTCTTGACATGCAAAATAAATATAGTTATAAATTATAATTGTATACAATGTACATACTACATATAGTTAAGTAAATTCAAGTAAGTAGTTAGGTACTTATTAGAAAATTAAAAATAAATATTGATAAATTTATCATTTTTTATTGATTTTAAACAGAACAAGTATTGTTCCTAGTAATAATAACATAATAGTTAACTCACATTGAATTTTTTGTACAATGTATTTTTAAATGTTATTATTTTTTTTTTTTTTTTTGTATAATAAAATGAATTTTAATTTTTCGATATCATACCGTGTAGATAAAATATGAAGATAAATATTAAATTCAAATATCAAAATCAAATAATAAATTTAAAAAAAGAATTTTGTTTAAACGACCTAAAAATATTCAAGTTCTTTAAGATCATAAAATATATTACTTACATTTTGTTTGTAATAAGTGAGTGACGTACACGTGTCATTCGCAAGATATAAACGTGAAAGCAATGAATGCGCAATCACAATAGCATGTTTTTTTTCAATATTGATAAATGATGGTAGATATACTGGAAAATACATTCTTAGGGATAAAATTGGCTGTAACCACAACTTAATGATACCAAGTTACCAAACAAATTATAAGGTTTAACATTAACTATTCCAAGATATATTATACAGTATATTTTACCATACTTAACCGAATTTTGTACCCATTAATGACTATTATTGTTTGATAGGTAGTAATATTTTTTTAAATTTGATATTGTGTGAACAGAGTCACATCTGTTGTATTTAAGTTTTGATTTGTGTCACATTGAGACTGTAAGTGATTATTATAATATACTAGGAAAAATAATGTAAAACATAGTGTAAATAGTAAATTTATTTACGTAGAAGAATTACTTTTAAAGTTTTAAACCAGCTTATAAACGAAATACTTTTGAGTTCTGACTCAATATTATCTTCATTTTTTGTCCAAAATATTATATTTATAGAAAATAAATTAGAAATTTTTTGCACTACTTTCAATTTTTTGATAAAAATTTAGATGTTTGATTTAACATGTATTAAAATACTTTATTAACATGGTATATTATATTTTATATTTAATCTAAATAAATAGCTTAATCATAGTATCTGTATAAAATAATAATTCAGCATAATATTTTTTTTCAGATTTTTATTTTATTTAATTAATAAATTTAATTTTGAAGATCTGAAAATGTAATACAAATTTAATATTGTAGATACTACTAAAAATTAATTATTTATAAATCGTTATTAATAAACATTTTATTGAACACTATAGTCTAAAGATTTTTAAAAGATGTACAAATCCTACTAAATTAAATTAAGTTAAATTCAAAATTGCTTTTCGATTATAAAAATACGTCATTACTTTTAAAATTCAAGTATCTGATATTAATTATATTAATTTGTTATCTATACATACAGATATTATTATGTATTCATATTGTTTAATTGACGATTGAAGTAAATGAAGTGTTGCTTTCATTCTGCAGTACTCAATAAAAAATGTAGTTATACCTAGTATAAAATAAGTAGCTAGGTACTTAATAATTTAATACGTACCTTACGTAAATATGTAAGACATGCTTTATTATTTCATTTAACAAATATAAATTCAATGTTAAGTACTGATATGATGATCTTTTTAATATACTCTAGTCACATGGTTAATTTTTATCTTAAATAAATATTCAAAATGAAATTTATTGCACACATACATGTAATTTTTTTAGTAATAATTAATAATTATAATATTATACATTTTGAAACAGAACATTTTATTTTTTCGTACAGAATAAGCCCAAAAGTATTTTTACTAGTTATAAGTTACGAGGGGTTCTATATTGTCCATGAAATTAAATCAAGAAATGTTGTTAAAAACTATTTCCACTTATATTCTATAAATATTAATATGCATAAAATTTAATGATTGTAGAAAGATGTAATAAATACGCAATTATTATTTACTAGTGATAAAATATAATTTATTTCGTCTGGTACGTATTAATACAATTTAAAAATGAATATTTTGTACAATTATTAAATAGAAATTCTATTATTTGTTGAATCCATACGTAATGGTTTAGCACGTTACGAATAATACGATAAAAAAACAAAAACAATACAAATAAATTGTTAGTGCCATAAATTTCGTTCTGTCAATTTTTTGTGTAAAATAAATCGTTTGATTTGTCATTATACAAATATTAATCGATATAGATTCATACGAAGTGGATAAATATTGGTATCATTTTTTACTCACAAAAGTACTAGTTTACATCTACAACTGTTTATACAATGGCAATAACCACATTTTAAAACTTAGTGAAAAAAAAAGTCAGTTATAATATGTAATGTCTAAGTAGGATTTGTCAGTTAAACCATAAATTCATTTGAACACAATAATAGAACGGTTGGACATGGCCATGAAAATTGGGCAAGGATATGCGAAAAAACATCTACTTGAATAGAGCTAATTTGTCTACATATTGCTGTGTATACCTACCTACTTCATTTTAAGTAATATGTTTATTGTAAGACTAGTAAAAGGATAAAGGGGGAAAATAGATTACAATACGAAGACGTGTCAACAATTTCTTTTTACAATTTGTGCGTATACCGCGTGTATATTATCTGTTCGTATTTGCACAAATTATCACACATGAGGGGTTACCGTACATTATCTGTCTAATGAATTATTAGGTAACATTAGCATTGGGTCTTGTGTTCCGATAAAGGCACAATGTACACTGGTCATTAGTGCAGTCGATTCGTGCAAGGCCTGTAGGAAACCTGTGAAGGAGGCTCTAGGTCCAACTCAAAAATTTCATTTTTTTTTTTTTGTTTCTTTTTTAATAATACAATTTTTAGTTGAAAAAAAAATTAATATTTTACTTTAACACAAAATATTATAACAAAAATATTATGCTAGTTTATTGGAATAAATAGAGTAAAAATATTTTTTTTCTTTTCGTGTACACATTCGCGTTATTGTCATTCGTATAATATTTTCGAAAGTATGCGATTCCACTTACTAGTCGTATGTCTGGTACATTTTTTGTATTATACATATGCAAATAATCAAGACTTCACTCATTTGACAAGAGAATTTTATCATGAATCCAATGAACTAAAGTCATCATGTTTAAGGTATTGTTGAATTTAATTTAGTAAATTAAAATATTGGATTTGTTAAAAAAAAATGTACAAATATGAACAATAATGTTATGTATGGATAAATAACTTAAAAACTAAGTGTAATGTAATATGTCTATTAATTGAAAGTTTAAATAAATTAAATAGAGTCATAGAGAGATCATCGGAAAATGTTCATAATTTTGTTAATTTTTAATGATTATAAAATGTGTAAAACTAGTTAACTATTTTATCAAAACTTAATGTTACAAAATTCATACTTAAATTATTGTTCCAAAATACAAACAACAAAAAACGTTTTGAAATTGTGAATTAAAATATTATATTTGTTATTATAATGTTGAGAGTAAACAATATGAATTAATAAAATATTCTACATCAAAATCATCATAATTACAAAATTTCCAAGTATAATAATAGGTATAAATTATATATTGAGACTTTAAGAAATACATTATTACTTTTTAAGTTTTTTACTTACCTATACTAAAATAATGAGAATATTCTAGTTATAATTACTTGTTTAAAACATTTGTAAATACCATATTCAATACGTGATTAATACGATAAAAAAAATTATAAATCTCCATAATATGTTATGGTATTATATATTAACTATAACAATTTAAAATTAATAACGTAAAAATATAATTAATTATTTTGCCGAAACTTAACATAATATTGAAAATGTTTTATCTTTAAAATAATTACCAAGTATTGTCTTACAGTTTTAGTAGAAACAAATAACAGCTGTTAACGAGATAACAAATAAACGTACAACAACATTAAAAACATATTTTGAACATAAATAAATGAAGAAACATGCTATTGTTATTCACACAAATACATTTTCTAAAAAACTATTCTTTGTAAATTTTCATTTCAAATTTAAAACATGGTAAGACTTTTTATTAAGTACGAGTAATTATATAATTTATAGATTTCTCTCTTTTTAAACGATTTTTTCGAAAACTACTGAAAAATAAAAAACATTTTTTTTTCGTGCATAATAATTTAATTTATTAATATTATTATTTTACCTTTAAAAAATATGGTAAAAATATCTAAGAAACTAAAACAATTAATATTTATTTCTAACGTTAATAAATAAATAATATATAATAATAGTTTATATAAAAATATGTTATACAAATGAATGTAAAAATATAAAATATTGATTAAAAACTTAATACTAATCTATGACTGAGTATAAGACACGAGTTCAGTTTTTATTATATTACATTACTGCATGCTTATTTCATAATACTGACGAATACCTACCTACCTGTATCTTTTTAAATGTTTATGACTTAAATTAATTTATAGCTTGCTCAAAATAATAACGAATAATAATAAGTTTATGACATTGAAAACTAGCTATAAGTTAATAAACTTAAAAGTAGTTTTCTTCATATTTAAAGATAAAAAAGATAAATAATTATCGATTAATTATGTATTTATTAGGATAAAAACAATAAATTCATGAGAAATTACATAGATACTCCGATTATACTAAAACTTGAAACTGATTATTTTAAAGTAGGTTCTTCTATTTGGCTACATGTGTATTAACTTATTTATATATTTATTATTATAACTTTTAAATGTTTCATATTAAGTTTTAAATTCCATTTGTATAGTAGGTATGGTATTAGACAGGTATATTATAATATTATATGCAATATGCAATATACATTGTTCTATGGAATGTAAATGTTATAAAATTGTTGATAGGGTGTACTATTCCTATCTAGATAACGATTTTATTTTTTAAGTGCCTAGTGCCTACACATAATAATAATTGAAATTAATAAATAATATATTTAACACTTCATATGTGATACGTCATAATGAAAATATAATATTTATTTCTAAATATGTATTTAAAAATATTTGTTAAAATGTTTAGTTATATAATTAATAACTAATATTGAATGAAGTAATTGAGTTGGTTTATCTTTAGGATTAAAGTCCATGTGACTGATATCAGCAGAATTAAAATTTTTAATTATATGAGAATATTGATGATTTAAGATTTTATATAATATGTGCTCAATCATGCATCAATAAATGTAAATAACATATATAATATCATCTCATATTGGCATTTGAAGTGTACCTATATTAAATTTAAATATCATAAATATAGTAATAGCATGAAATGTGGACGAAGTTAATTAAATGTATAAAAATACAAAAACAAATCCAATAATAAGATTATAATATTATAATAAAATAAGCTATTTAGAAAAGGCTTATTATTATAGCGTGTATTTAAACAATTGAATCACCATGAAATTAATAACCATTGATCTCCAGTCAAAACATTATGATACAAATTTATAATAATAATATTTAAAATTAAATATACTTATTTTCACATAGTATTAAAAGTTAAATTAATAATAACTTAATCGACAATAATGTTATTTTTAGCAAAATTTACTGCGAAAGTGAACTTTTACATGACGTACAACTATCTAAAATTTATCCAGATTCGAAAACTTTTGTGGATAAGCAGCTAAAATCCACAGAGTCTGATATTTTAGATAAGTATAGAAAATTGAAACTCTCTAACAATAATCAAGTGCCTTCTAATACCGAATTAACGAAATTCATTGACGAGTATTTAAAGGATGGTAATGAATTAGAGGAATGGACCCCTCCTGACTTTACTGATAATCCATCGATTGCTAACCGAATTAGAGACAAAAATTATAAACAATGGTCACTGGGATTAAATCAAGTATGGAAAACCTTAGCAAGGAAAATTAAACACGAAGTAAGAGACCATCCTAGTAATTACTCACTGATATGGGTTCCAAATGGATTTGCTATACCTGGAGGCAGATTTAGAGAACTTTACTATTGGGACACGTACTGGATTGTTAACGGAATGTTATTATGTGATATGACGTCAACAGCTAAAGGTGTCATTGACAATATTTTATACCTCATATCTCTGTTTAATTTCATGCCAAACGGTGCACGAGTATACTACCTAAATAGATCACAGCCACCAATGGTGACGTTGATGGTGGCAAATTACTATAAAGCGACTAACGACTTTGATTATGTACGAACAGTCATACCTGTAAGTGCAATCATAAATTATTATAAAAAAAAAAAATAATTACAAAATCACAGAACAATAAATTACTTTTTTAGACTTTAGACAAAGAATTTAAGTTTTGGATGGAAAACCGAATGGTCACTTTCCAGAAAAATGGAAAATCGTATACAATGGCAAGATTCTATGCACCGTCGAGAGGTCCAAGACCAGAGTCATATAGGTTTGTATAATTTGGTAGACTTACGAATGCAATTAGTATAATTTTCTGTTCATACAGAGAGGACTATGAAACAGCGGAATATTTTAAAACTGAAAAGGAAAAAACCAATTTCTACATAAATATTAAATCTGGAGCTGAGACTGGATGGGATTTTTCAAGTAGATGGTTTATAAATAAAATAAATTACTCGAATAAGGGTATGATTTTTTTTATTATTATTTCGATTAGAATCATAATACAATAATATGATGTATTAACGTTTATAAAATACAGGTAACTTAACAGACATACAAACGCCATCAATAATACCAGTCGAATTGAATTCTTTATTACACGTTAATGCATTGACTTTGAGTGAATGGTATGCCAAGATGGGAAATATAAGCAAAGCCGAAGAATATAGTGCGATAGCCGCGACCTTTCTTAACAATATACAAGAAGTAAAATTATTATATTAATATTATTAATAAGATATTATAATAGTATTCCGTTATCCATGTATTGATCATAGAAAATAAACATTTCATAATATATTGATTATAGGTTATGTGGAGACCAGACCTGGGAGCGTGGTTCGACTGGGATATAATGAATAATAAAAGTCGAGAATATTTTTATGTTTCTAATATTGTACCTCTGTGGACGGGAAGTTACAACATGCCGAAAAAAGCTGTAGCCAGTTCAGTGTTGGGATATCTAAGAGACCAACATATTATCGAACCCGATTATAGTGTGAATTTCAACGGTACGATTAAATAAAATCATTTATAAATCAACTTTTACAAGAATTTATAAGGTTTTTTTATTTGATTTTTTTAATGTGATTACTTGTTAGTATGAAATTTATATAATATTATTCACGGAGCACTGGAATTATAAATAATTACACTATGAAAAACATTGCTATAATTATTTTTATCTAGGAACACCTACATCTCTGTATGAATCATCACAACAATGGGACTTTCCAAATGCATGGCCTCCTCTACAAGCTTTCATCATTCAAGGTCTAGATAGGACACAACAAAAACTTGCACAACAGGTGGCACTGAAATTAGCCGACGTTTGGTTACGTTCAAATTATAAAGGATTCGCAGAGAAATCAATGATGTTCGAAAAAGTATGGACACAACATTATACACGTATTAAGACATTTAAGACATAGGTATTTAAATTTTTGATTTGAAAATTGTTTCGTAGTATGACGTTCTAGCTTCAGGAGAAACTGGTGGCGGTGGTGAATATATTCCACAGACAGGTTTTGGTTGGACAAATGGTGTCGTGTTTGAGTTTTTAAATCGATGGGGTGATACAGTTTCTAATGGGACAAACGGTAAGATAACATTTTGAAATTATTAAACATTTTAAATGAAAATTTAACTCCTTAGATAAAAATTGAAAAAAAAATATCTTAAAATCATGTTTAAGTCGTGTATATAAGTCAAATTATTCAAAATTATGTAAGTACCAAAAACTTACAAAGTTGCAGGTTAAAAATTAAAATGACTTAAATCATTAACAATTCTCTAGTTTTTTGTGCTTAAAAAGACCCGAAGCGGAAACTACTACTTATTATTAATTAGTGATTATTATTTATTTGTGTCAGTCTTTCTCCAAGCATTGCAGACTTATTTAGTGTTCAAACTTAAAATTGTCTTTGATGTTTACAAAGCTTAGTATATTTAATTATTATGTTCGAAAATAAATAACATACTTAAAGATTTTATAAATAATTATCCCTCAAGGTAGAGATCTCTCACCTATCTTATAAAATATATTCACATCCGAAATACCTACGTCGATCAACACCCTACTGGTTAACTTTGCAGATAACACTGCAATTCTAGCGTTTGAAAAATATCCTATCTCTGCTGCCAATACCCTTCAGCCACACCTAAATAAAATAAATTGATAGGCTAAAAAATGGGAAATAAAAATCAATGAAGATAAACCAGTTCAAGTAAATTTCTCTTTTAGTCCTAAAGAATGCACTTAACTTCAAATAAACAACAAACCAATCCCATTTCAACAAAATACAAAATACTTAGGAATCATACTTGACAAGCGTCTTATGTGAACCCAACATACAAAATCCAAACGTTAACAGGCAAATACACAACTTCACTTACTCAGACACTTTTAAAATCCAAAATCTAGTTCAAATTTAAAACCCTTATATATAAAGCCATAATTAGACCAATTGGGTCATATAGCATACAGATTTGGGGTCCTGCAAAGCTATCTAATATACGTTCTAAAAAAAAAATTCTGAGGTATTGTTAATGAACAACTTCCTCCACAAATTATTCATGTGCTTATAATGATAAAATTTTTTGAAAACTATTACTTATTATTTTAAATAACAGATTGAAATATATTTTAATAAAAAAAAAAAAAAATAATAATAATAATAAAAATAATTACAGAAGAAAATTGTTTATTTTATTGTTTTTTGGTAGTGGAAAAAATGTATTAATGTATGATTTAATTAAAGACAATATATTTTTACCATTCACTTATACCGAATATGCCCGAAGTGTCCAATAATTCGATGGAATAAACATAAATTAGGTTTTGAAAAATTATGTTTTTATATTTTTAGGATGTAATAGCAGCTATAAATATTTGTGCGATTTCAATAGGATCAGACAACAGTTAATGTTTTGGGTAAATAAAAAATTATATGGAAAAAAAATGAGAATATTTTTATCCATTATAATTCACCAATATATGGCACCTATTAAATGTATTTATTTACATTTTATAAACTGCAAATTCTATTTCAGTGTCACAGTATTTTAGCACTATAGCACACAATAATAATATCCCTCACTTACGTTTTTTTTAGTCGACAGTAACATCAATTATTATATTAAAATATAATGTTCAATTTAAAAAATCAATATAAAACAGTCGAAAACATTGACGTAATGATATAAACTATTAACGGTGTATAATTTGTTTTGATTTTCAGAAATGAGGAATCGGGGATAATTTAATTATATGCCAGTGCACCGGAAACTTAGGTACCTTCTTGTAATTAAATGTACCATACTTCAAACAGCTGAATAACGCTGATAAATTCAAAGAAAAAACTCAGTATTCATTTATTACAACATAATAAATTTATAATCTAGAAAATATAATTTTTAAATGATTTTCAAAAAACAATGCGTACCTAAAATTATTAATTTTTTCATACACACAAAAACAATGCAATGCAAAATAATGTATGTTTATTGATATAAAATACGTATTATTTCATTTATACATTATATAAAATAATTTTACACCTATTTTAATTATTGTAAGGAATTGTTGTTATGTTGATATTATTTTTTTTAAAAAAGCAACAACTTTTAATTGTTAAAATACTTGTAATTTATCATTATACACCTTTTTGCATGTACAACAGGTATGTGGTATACCTCATAGTAATTTATTGGAAATAAAAAAAAAAAAATTGAAAAACAAGAAAGTGCATTTTTTAATACGAGTTATTCAATATTCTTAAGTTTAGAAAATTATTTTGCGTTAAGTCATTTGAATTGAATTTGACCATATCATATATGTTCATGACTTATATAGGTGGTATACTTATACCTACTTTCAATAAAGTATATTTATCTTTGTGACATTTTGAATAAAAAACTTAATTCAACATGCTAATAAAGCATATAAGATTACCTTAATACAATAAGAAGTGTGCAAACTAACATTTCAATCTCAACTTATTATATAATATATACATTTGATCAAAAAATTGAGAATACCCGTCTTTAACAAAGCATATTATTATTATTATTATTTATTTCAGTTATTTAATTGTAATTAAAATAATAGGGGTGATCCACTTTTCTATCGAAATCAACCTTTCCGTTTACTGTAAGTACAATGATACATATTTCATTTTTTTTTTCATTTTGTATACCTTACAGACATTATTTTGATTTGATTTTTGTAATAGCACATTATACAATATTCTATATAATATGTATAGGTGCATTAAAAGAGTATTTACTGAAGTTTTTTTCTTTTAAATACGCTTAATTAATAATCTATTATCTAATTAATTTTTTATTTTAAAAATCATTGTCAATCATTATCAATTATTTTACACGATTTCATAAGGAGTTTCCAAAATATAAAAATTGAAATTTGTGAATCAAAAATGGAAGTAGGTATATATGGATTATTATACTAGTGTTAAACGAAAAGGTCGATTTTTGCAAAAAACAGTGACGTCCAAAATAATAAAATTCCTGTGTATCTACTCGACACTTGTTATTGCTATCATAGAACTTTTTAACCAAGCCTTAATCATTCATAATATAATGTTACATTAATAAGCCATAATATAATTATCTGACTTAAATTAAAATACCTACATTAAAAACTAATAATTAAAATGTGTTTTCTAAAATTATATTTGCTATGAATTTTGGTAAAATGATATCCAGTACGGTTCAATATAGTCTCAGTTAATTATTTATAAAGTATAAAACCGCAGTTCTTTAAGAAAATCGTGAAAATTATTTACTGTATAGTTAATAATATAATGGTTTAGATATTATACGTGAGAGGTGTTTAGATAAAAGTATGTAAATGATGATATAATAATAGAACAACGATAAGTGAAGAAAATATACATTCGTCTAAGCGAACACATTAATTGCTGACCTCCCATTTTCTATATTATACCAACGCAATCATTTACCTTGAATTAAAAAATATTTAAAGCTGGTCATTATTGTACCTTAGCAGTACTATAGGGACCAGACTACCTTTTGAGCAAAACACGTGCGCGTATTTAGCCGGCTCGAGGCTTGATACAATTTTAGACACCCAAACAGAGACGGCCATCTGTTAACAAATAAACCGTACGCATGAAAAGGAATCGCGCCGCGGTAAACATTGCGTTGCCCCGACAATTTTCTTGCGGAAATCGGCAGTTAAAACGTCGCGTTCAAATCTCGTACCATGGGACCCGGAGACAGCCCCCTCGGGCTCACTTGCTAATAGCGTCCCAGCGCTCCAGGGAGGGGGGGAGGAGGACGATAGCCAAATGAAGCGCAACCATGGATGTTCACAGAGGACCTACGCTCGTCCGTGATACAGTCACCGCACTTGAGGAAGGTCTCGTTGTGGTTTCGGGAGTAAGGCCTTAGATTCGAGCAGGAAACCGCCGTGCCCTGGTCGCAGTAGTGGCTCATTAAGACACCTCAGCGGAACTGGCGTCCCAGGCGGGATGTTCAAGGTGTCTGGCTTCTAGGAGCTCCCCTTGGCCTTTCGCTTAGAGGAGGTAACACCACGATTACACATAGGGGTAGAGTGTCGCTGAGTTAAAAGACAGATGGACTCGTCAAACCCCGCTACACACAGAAAGATGTACCTTAGTAGTGTCTAACTAATCAAAAAATCAATTTAAAATTTCATATTATTTTTTTATATACGACTAGAAACATACATGCATAAAAATATTTATCTATACATTACATTGTTTGGATAGATAATTACTATTTTTGATTAAACATATTAATAAATGTGTGAAAACTAACCTATATACGCACACAATTACGAGTAATAATTAAATTTATAAATCGCTTATTAAACCCATGTACTCCTATGGAGCTGAACCCCCCAAATTTCAAATCTTAATAAAATCCTTTGCCGTATCGTTAACGCTCCTCCATACATCTCTAATGAAACTATACATAAAAAATTAAACATACACACAGTTAACAGCTACCATATAATATTGTTATAAAAATTTCCATAATCATCCAAACACAACAATATTAAGGAAATATTTTCCGCCCACGCTCCCCGGAAATCCTTTTCACTGGCTAAAAATGCAGAATTCTCCTCAAGTGGATTTTTTCCTGTCAATTAAATACTTTAATCTTGTTGAAAAATTTGTATCGTAAATATTTACAAATTTTGTTTTTTCCCAAAACAAAATATGAATAATTGTTGACACTATTATCACGATTTATTGAAGACGAATAGGTATGCAGTAAAGGCGTGCGCAAACTTTAATCGCAGATTCAACATACAAAATAAAGCAGCACATTTTTTTACAATCGATGAAATACATTTTTTAACCCAATTTCATCTAACCCGTGCGCGTGACTATATATAGTATACAGGCTAAACATTCTATATTGTCATTTTATGTACATATAAAATCAACAAAACAATAATATTGCGTATAATTTATATTACGTAACCATGGGTAGTTACTTCCACTGAAAATGTTGATTTATATTCTATAAATACGGAACCTAACCTACAGAGACGAACATATGAATACTGGTGTTAACGGTAACTATTCTTATAATATTATTATTGGCATATTTTTATTAAGTCTTATTATACAGATAGGTACAGTTAAGAGATAGTCAGACTGTCGAACGTGGATAGATGAATTCAATTAAAGGTCGTAAACACGATCACTTAATACTTTAAGTTTTCCGTTTTAAAGAAACTAAAATATACGGTATAGGTATATAGGTTGTACGATACCGTTATTCTCTTCCATTGCAAAGAGATTTTTGTCTTGTAAGAAAGATTTTACTATATAATATAGGTAGGTAAAATACTTATCTACACTTACTGCACAATTATTTAAGTACCAAGTTCTAGTACAAACACCTAATAACATGTATGGTTATATTTATAATAAATTTATCAATTATAACTTACTGATTATTTCACTTATTTATTCTAAATAAGTAGAGATTTATTGTATATTTACTAAGACTGAAGCTCCTGGGGACTCTTAAATATATTATTTCAAAATTCTTTCTCGTTTGTTTGTATTAAACTCTAGTTTATGTGTAATAGTTATTATATAATTATGTTTTAATATTTAAAGTTTATTATTTTACAAATCTATGAGTATCATGTTTAATTTAATAGCAATTTATATTTTATGAGAAGTTAAATAACCTTTTAAATCAATATTGATCGATACTATAAAATAGTTTTATTTTATCGTAAAAAAAAAATGTATATGGGCAAATTATGATTTTATAAATAGGTGAGTGGGTAGTGAGTACCGAATAGCTTCAATATTATTTTATCTTTGTTTTTTAGTGGTTATTATTATTAGTATTAGTATATTTTGTTTACGTCGTTGGGGTGCGTCGACCGATAATTCGAACAAACCACGATGACAACGGAGTTCGTTATTATTATTTTTGTATTATTAGGAAACTGTCTGTCTCGTCCGCCTAGTTTTAGCGTGTACGATTGATTAAAATAAAGTATTTTTTTGTTTTTATTTCCTTCTTTTGCTGAATTTAACCACTCTTCTATCAATGTATTATGATAAAATTATTATTTTTTAAGCCACGATAGAAATATAATATATTCAATGCAATCAATATTTTAAGTATTATTTAGCTGTAAAATAATTTAATTTATTTTTTTCGATTTTAACAAATTTACAGTCGACTAACAAAATTATGTGGAATCAACACACACCTTGCCAAGACTGGAAGAGCGGAACTGTTTATGCATCTGACACATTACAACCAACATGACTAAGGTACCTATAGAATACTTATATGTAAATTATATTTATATTGAATTTAATATTCAAATGGTTTACTCATAATTTATTCTAATATGTTTTAAATTAAACAGGTAGGTACTTATTTGAAATTACCATATATTCATGGATATTTAGAATAATACTTATGAATTTGCTATTAAATTTTAATATTCATTTACAAAAGTTATATCTAAAATACGTATATATTTCAATATCTATGATAAATACAAATTACGTCTTATTCTGCAAATCCCCATTGATAAGAAAAAAAACAATCCATTATATAAATTGTAAGTACCTACCTACTTAATAGTTAATATCAAAATAATTATATTAATATTGTAAAAGTCGACTTATCTATAAGCAGTATTTATTATTTACTTTATATATCAATTAATCGTAGAATTCAAACATAATGATGTAGATAAATAAATTACTTATTAATTCAATTAAATGTTTGCTAACCTTACATTGTTACTATAATTATTTAGTATAGGTAGGTACATACTGTTATATTTTAAAAGTGCGAACTTTAAGTTTAATTAAATAATTATTTTGCTATAATTAATAGGTTAATCAGTGATGAAATTATTTAGTA